CCTCTGTCCATCCATTCATCTCTGCGAGTAGCTCAAATTGTGCTCTATATGCTTCCCACGGTGCCTTCCCATCGAATTCCTGTGGCTTCCTTCGCACTGGATCACTCCTAGTACTGACATTCATATCTGGGATGTGACTTCTAGCGGGACTGAATATGTCTGCATTAGGGTTGAGCTGCGGGCTCTGTAAGGGGCTTGCCATTGTCTGGGCTGATTAAGTCGGTGGTCAATGTATCCACTGCTGTAATCTCTCTTCTTGTTTCTTTTCTCGTTCTTCTTGTTTATTTTCTTTTTCCTCCAACAAGTGTTGTAATCTATCTTGTTTATTTTGCTGTTCGAGCTGCCATTGTTGTAGGTTTTTTTGCCACTGCTGTAATCTTTCTTCTTGTTTCTTTTCTCGTTCTTCTTGTTTCTTTTCTTTTTCCTCTAACAACTGCTGTAATCTCTCTTCTTGTTTAATTTCTCGTTCTTCTTGTTTCGAAAAGAAACAAGAAGAACGAGAAGAGAAATTACAACAGTTGTTAGAGGAAAAAGAAAAGAAACAAGAGGAGAAATTACAGCAGTTGTTGGAGGAGAAAGAAAATTTTTCCTCTAACAACTGTCGTAATTTCTCTTCTCGTTCTTCTTGTTTCTTTTCTTTTTTTTTATCCCACTTTCTGACACCAATTTGTTACGTCTCCGTTTGTTAATTAACTTTCCGAACTTCGTTCCGACGAAACTTTAGCGACACAAGTCCTTACTTAATAAAACTGGTTTATTCTTCCTGAATATAACTTCACGATACACTTGATTTCAACAATCACGCTAAAACAAACGTTAACTTCAACGATACTTTCTCACTGCAGATCAATTACTCACTACCTACACACACATTATTGTCCCGTCACGTTGTCACCCTCTTTTATATACCAGGCTACCCTATATCTAGTAAATGCTAGAGCATTCGCCAAGGTACAGGATAGTTCTAGAAACGTGGCGTGACACTAGTCATGTGACTTGCTGACGCAACAATATGTTTGATATATTAGATTAAATTGTCATGCTTACCTCGTTTCGTCTAGGTCTGCAGGTTTCAATAAACTGAATATTTTATCAAGTGTCGTGTTTATCTCGTTTCGTCTAGGTCTGCAAGTTTCAATAAATTGAAAGACCCAAGTCTGTGGGTTTCAATAAGTTAAGTATTATATCAAAGTGTCGTGCTTATTTCGTTTCTTCTAGGTGTGGCAGGCAGCAGCAAGCCAAATGTTTTTTTCTCTAAGTGTGTCCATGGGAGCCTTGATTATGTACAGCAGTTACAACGACTTCAGAAATAATATATTCAGGTAAAAGAAACACTTTCCATCATTCTAAGTTGTACGACTATGATAATAAAATATTTGTTATTTACTTTGAAATTGTGATGATATAAATAAAGTAATTTATGATATTTGTTTCAGAACAAAGACAATAATTTAAGATAACTTATATCATCTACTCTGGATGTCAGTAGAAAGAATGAGTTTATATGTATGTTTGTTTGCAATTAAGCACAAAGCTACACAATAGGCTATATGTGCTCTGCCCACTACGGGTATCGAAACCCCGATTGTGGCGTTATAATTCCTCAGTCATACCGCTGTACCACTGGGGAGCAGTTTTTATGTAATCAAAATAAATACATATTAACACTTTCATGATTTTGTTTATTTGTATTTTGGCTCTATCTACGACATATTTACTGATACCCATCTATTGATCTTATTTAGTATTCATTTATAACGTATTCGTCAGAAGACACACTGTGAAGTAGTTTAGAACATTTTTTCCAATGCTGGAATAAAGGCGCCAACTGTAAAATTCAAGCAAAAATGTATGTCATTGATAATTATAAATTAACACAAACCTTAGTCAAATAATTATGTAATAAGAACGTCATTTTTTTGTCAATACTTATTTCATATTTCAATGGTTTTCATTTATCTCGCCAATAGGTCAAACGTTATAGTTATTTCTCACGTTCTTGATGTATATCTTGCTGCTTCGGATGTTCACTCAAAAATGATTTAACCGAATTATTTCAGATGTTTATGAATTATGATATGTAGTCATTATGTTACCTAGGGATGCCATGGTTGTTAGTGTAATGGATACAGTTACTAGCCTGATATCTGGTACCGTTATTTTCTCCGTCCTGGGAGCCATGGCTCATGATTTGGGAAACGGAACACGGGTAGAAGATGTTGTGGCCAGTGGTGAGTGAAATTATGTGCAGAGTTTTATTTATTTGTAGATAAATAAATAGACTACTACACAAATAAATATTCATATTAGATTATTATACTTGATTCTAAGGTACTTAGTATCGTTGTTACATTATTTAAATTCTGAGTATCAGTTTTATAATTGAACCTAAAGCTGGATGTTTCAGGTTCCAATAAAACTTCGTGACATGCGCAGAAAAAGATGCCTGTAGCGAAAGTGATAAAAATAAAACTTTGTTATTAGGTAAAGTAGCAGAAGTAGAGACGTTTTACGGAAAGCAGGGAATAAAACTATAAATTGGAACAGTTCGTTGTCACCTACCATATAGTTCAATTGTTTATCTGGTATTACTTGTTCTGAGATAAATAATTTAACATTTGATTATGTAGTTTTTATCGACTTCCACTAGTGTAAAACTTTTATATAAGTAGTAACGATTGTTTGTTTGTAATTAAGCACAAAGCTACACAATGGGCTATCTGTGCTCTGCCCGCCACGGGTATCGAAACCCTGTTTTTAGCGTTGTAAGTCCGCAGACATACCGCTGTGCCACTGGAGGACAGTAGTAACGAATCTTATCAACAGATGTAGCACCATTCATGGACTTTTTCAATTGATAGTAACGCATTTTTAAAACCAATACTTCATATTTACTTTAATATGTATAATTGTTTATCAAATATTTATGGTACTAACAGCATACTTTCTGGATTCTAGATCACTCCTTCTTTTCTAAACAGTGAACTAAAATATTTAATTTGAAATTGCACTAAATTAGTAAATACATTTTACATGTTCATAGTTTTGTCTTTTGTAACTATATTTTTTGCTAGATCAGCAAATATTTAGATTTATATTTAAATAGCATTATAGTTGAGGCTAGTCTTCTTTGGTTTATAGTCCTTTAAGGATAATTATTGTTGATGCTAGTCTTATTTGGTATGTACTCCTTATTTGTCTTATTTGTCACATAGTCCTTGAAGAAGCATTGCTCATGATGGTAGTCTTATTTGATAATTATTGGTAATGGTATTTGCTGTATAGTCCTTCAACGGACATTATTGTTGGTGCTAGTAGTTGTAGCATTACTGTTGATGCTAGTTTTATTTGTCACATAGTCCTTGAAGAAGCATTGCTATATACTGCTTATTTGCTATATAGTTTTTTAAGGAGCATTATAGTTGGTGCTACACTTATTTGATATAGAGTCCTTGAAGAAACATTACTTTTGATGCAAGTCTTATTTGATACATAGTTATTTAAGGAGAATTACTGTTGGTGCTAGTATTATTTGTCACATAGTCCTTCAAAAAGTATTGCTCACGATGCTAGACTTATTTAGAATATAGCTCTTTTACTAGCATTATTGTTGATGCTAGTCTTATTTGTTATATACTTCTTTATCTATAATTATTGGTCATGCTAATATTATTTGTCATATAGTCCTTTGAAGAACATTATTGTTGGTGTTAGTCTTACTTGGTACATAGCCCTTTAATGAGCAGTACTGTTGATGCTAGTCTCATTTGGGATATCATCTTTATAGAGGCATTGCTCTTGATCCAAGTCTTGTTTTGTACATTGCCATTTAAGGAGCATTATTTTTTATGATAGTTACATTTTGTTCATAGTCCTTGAAGAAGCATTGCTACTGATGCTAGTGTTATTTCGTATATAGTTATTTAAGTAAAATTATTGTTGATACTAGTATTTGGTATATAGTCCTTTAAGGAGCATTATTGTTGGTGCTAGTCTTATTTATCACATTGTCCTTAAAGAAGCATTGCTCATGATCCTGGTCTTATTTGGTTTTTAGTCCTTTAAGGAGAATTATTCTTGATGCTAGTTTTAATTAGTGCATAGGCCTGGAAGAGGCATTACTCTTGATGCTGGTCTTATTTGGTATATAGTCCTTTAAAGAGCATTATTGTTGATGCTAGTAACATTTGGTTCATAGTCTTTGAAAAAGCATTGCTTTTGATGCTAGTCTTATTTGGTATATAGTTTTTCAAGAAACATTATTGTTAATGCTAAGCTTATTTGGTTCCCAGTTCTTTAAGGATATTGTGGACGTGGAAGAGCCCTGTAGACAGCCCTTGAAACTTGATCGACTTTATCTTGATAAAGAAAAGACCTGGGAATCCAATATTAACATGTAAAGCTTTACCAGGGGCTAATTGTAACAGCGTTTATAATCCAGTGCTTACTAAGATCAGAATAAAGCTGAAGAAAATGAAAAAGACAGTCAAAAATGCCAAGCTCAACCTGGCACTTCTGAAATCAAATCCAGCAATCAAGGGACATTTTGCAGTAGCAATATAGAAAAAAATCCAAGGTGCTAGAAGGATTAATGGATGTTGAGAAACAATGGGAATTGTTGAAAGAATCTATGAATCAAGCAGCCACAGATACAATACCACAAGTTCATAGAAGAAGAAGTAAGAAGAAATGGATGACAGATGATATTTTAAATCTAATGGACAAAAGAAAAGAAAGCAGAAATAATAGGGATGGATACAATCGACTAAACAGAGAGATATAAGAAAAATGCATACAAGCAAAGGAGGAATGGTTAAATGACAGCTGCAAAAAAAAATAGAGCTTTCAATCAAGACACAAAAGCAATGTACCAGAGAATTGACCAAGTATGTGGCAGAAGGACATGTTCAACAACAGGTTGTCTAAAATCAAAGGAAGGAGACGTCATCATGGAAAAGAACAAGATCTTGGAGAGGTGGCAAAATACATCAAGGAACTTTATGATGATGAAAGAATTGAAAACGTTATATTCAGGAATAAGTTTGAGGGCTCTCCAATTTTGAAAGAAGTATAAAGTGAAACATATAAAATGCTAATATTGTTTGGTACATAGTCCATTAGGGAGCATTATTGTTGATGCTATTCTTATTTGGTATAAAGTCATTGATCCAAGTTCTGTTTATTACATTGTCATTTAAGGAGCATTATTTTCGATGCTAAAGACATTTGATTTATAGTCCTTGAAGAAGCAAATCTCTTGATGTTATTCTTGTTTGGTATATAGTTGTTTAAGGAGCATTATTATTGGTGCTAGTGTTAATTGGTATATCCTCTTTAAGGACTATTATAGTTAATATTAGTCTTATTTGGTTTTTATTCCTTTGAGGAGCATTATTATTGATGCTAGTGTTATTTGGCATATCTTCTTTAAGAAGCATTATTGTTGATGGTAGTCTTCTGTGGTACATAGACCTTTAAAAAGTAGTATTCTTGACTTTATTTGATACATAATCATTAAAGAAGCTTTGATCTTGATGTTAGTCTTATTCGATACACAGTTAATGAACATTATTGTTGGTGCTAAAATGATTTGGTATATACTTCTTTAAGGATAATTATTTTTAATTCTAATATTATTTAAGAGGCAGTATTGTTGTTGCTCGACGTATTTGGTATTCAGGCCTTGAACAAGCATTAATGATGTTGCTAGTTTTATTTGGTATATAGTTCTTAAAGGTGCATTATTGCTAATGCTTGTCACATTTGGTGTATAGTCCTTTAATGAGCATTATTGTTGACGCTAGGCACATTTGTTTCATAGTCCTTGAAGAAGCTTTGCTCTTAATGCTAGTCTTATTTGGTATATAGTTCTTTACGTAGTATTATTGCTGATGCTAGTAATATTTGGTTCATTGTTCATTAAGGAGCACTATTGTTGGTGATAGTCTTATTTCACACACAGTCCTTGAAGAAGGATTACTTATTTGGTATATAGTTCTTTAAGAAGCAGCATTGTTGATGTTAGTCTTATTTGGTATAAGTCCTTCAATGAACGTTATTTGGAGACTAGTCTTATTTTTTCATAGTCTATGAAGAAGCATTGCTCTTCATGCTAGTGTTAATTCCTATATAGTTCTTTAAGAATCGTTGTTGTTGATGCTAGTCTTATTTGGTTTATATTAGGTCGTCGAGATATTAGTGTCGCTTTTTGAAGTAAAAACCCGAACAACTTATATATCAAACAAAACATTTATTAAATGAAATAGTCTCCATTTTTATCGATGATGCTTTTCCATCTTACAATCAGGTTGTTAATTCCCTGATTAAAGAAATCACTTGGCTTTGAAGCAAAAAATATGTCGATGTTCTCTTTAACACTTTCCATATTTGCATATGTTTTCCTATTAAGATGGTGTTGCAACGAACGAAAAAGATGGTAATCTGATGTTGCCATATCTGGAGAATATGGTGGGTGGGGGAGAACTTCCCAACCCAACTCCAGAATCTTGTGTTGCGTCAAACGTGCCACATGTGGACGTGCATTGTCGTGGAGAAGAACACCTTTACGATTGACGAATGAAGGGCGTTTCTGATGAAGGGCTTGATTTAAACGTTCCAGTTGCTGACTATAGATCTCTGCATTGAGAGTTCGCTGTGGATTGAGCAGTTATAAATTAATTATTCCTTTGATGTGGATGGAGTTCAGGTTTTGGAGTCGGAAGTGCTTCTTGTCTAGGACCGAGCCATTATTTTTGGCGTTTAATATTCGAATAGAGAATCCATTTTTCATCACCGATGACAATTCTGTCCAAAAATAGTTCACGCGCATTACGCACCAGAAAAGACGATGCAACGTTCACACGTTGAAACGATGATCATCAGAGAGTTCGTGAGGCACCCAAACCAAACGCCTTCTTTATGGAGTTTTCCCATATTCCTTAGATGTTTAGGTATTGTTTTATAAGAGACATGCAATTTCAGGGCCATTTCACGAGTGTGTTGTCTTGGGTTAGACACAACAAGCGTCTTTAGAGCATTAATATAAATTCCAACATGTACGTTTTTTTTGGGGGGGGGGGTTAATGAAAGTGTTCCAAAACGCGACATTAATTTCTTGATGACCTAATAGTTCTTTAGTGACCATTATTGTTCGTACTACTCTTATACGGTACATTGTTTTTAAAGATATATTGCCCTTGATAATAATATTATCTGCTACACAGTAATTTAAGAAACGTTAGACTTGATTGTTACATAGTCCTTAAAGAAGCGTTATCTTTGATGCTCGAGTTATTTGGTATACAGTCTTTTATGAGGCATTAGTCTTGATGCTAAGCGTATTTGTGTATTTGTTACACAATCCTTGTAGAAGTATTACTCTTGACGCTAAACTCATTTGCTACGTAGACTTTGAAGAAGTATTTCACTTGATGCTATACGTATTTCTTATACAATCCAAAGAAGTATCGATCCTATAACCTTAAAGAAATATTGGTCTTAATGCTAGTGTTATTTGGTACACAGTTCTTTAAAAAACATTACTCTTGATGCTAATGTTATTTGTTACACGGTTCTTTAAGCAACACTTCTTTTGACGCTAATGTTATCTGGTACACAGTCCTTAAAGAAGAGTTGGTCTTGATTCGAATCTTATTTGTAATATAGTACTTTAAGAAGCTTTATTCTTGATACTAGTGTTATTTGGTATATATTTCTTTAAGATGCATTACACTTGGAGATAATGGTGTTAGATACACAGATACTAATTGTATTTGATATATAGTCGTTGATAATAATGTTATTTGGTACACAGTTTTTAAGAAACATCGCTTTTGATGTTAATGTTGTTTGATATATAGTCCTTTAAGAAGCATGACTCTTGATGCTCAAGTTATTTGGTACACAATTCTTTATTAAGATACATTAGTGTTGATACTATTGTTATTTAGTACATTATCTAAAAAACACTATTAAGGAGCATTACTGCTGATGTTAGGCTTATTTGGTATATAGTACTTTAAGGAGCATTATTGTTGACACTGGCATTGTTTGGTGTGTAGCTTCCATGGAGCAGTATTCTTGATGCTAGTCTTATTTGGTGTATAGTCCTTGGAGAATGCTTAAAGCTGTAGCGTTAGATGAGTACAAAGTTTTCCTGGAATTAGTGATTGTTGAATCTCTTACATATAATTATGATTCAATAATTGGAATTAATGAATTGGTAAAAATTATTATTTTTCTAGACAATTCTGTTAAAATGTAACTTGTTCCACGCATTTTCAAAAGCAAAACGTATTTTGGCACGTTGAAAAAATTCATTACGAGTATCATTTGCTCTCTTATCTGGTCCTTTGTATTACTTCGAATCCAATCTTTCTTTAGCTTTTTCTAGAATGTTATATTTTGATGGATGTTTTATATTTGTATTCCAGGAATAGAGCTACAGCATTTTGCGCAAAGCTACTCTGCACTAGCCGTCCCAATTTTGAAGTGATAAACTAGTGGGAAGGAAGCTAATCAACACTACCCACCGCCATCACTTGGGATACTCTTTACCACTAAATAGTGACAGTCATATTATAACGTTCCCGTAGCAGAAAGGGCGAGCACGTTCGGTGTTGTCATTTTAACCCACGACCCACAGATTACGGGTCACATTTCTTTTTATTTGCTTGGTTGCTAACGATGACGTAAATATTAGAATTTTTTTTATTGTTTAGTTATGCTATAAAAACAGTATTTAGTTATTTTTGTTTGACTTCTTGTAGCAATGAGCTCAACAGGTGTTTTTTTTTTACATTTCCCTACTTCAGTATCATATGCCATATTCAAGTTACGATACGAGGTTATTATTGTCAAGCTTAAATAAAATATCAAATTAAGATGAAAAACAAATGGCCAATTACGTCACTCTGACGTATTTCAATAGATGTAGTCATTCTTGCATAGTATGAAAGATAGGCTTAATTAATTCATATTATCAATCAATAAAAGCAGTATCTCCTCCCCCCACAAAAACATTACAGTAAATGAAAAAATCGATAAGTGAAAAGAAACTCTGTAAACTCAGGAAATTTGGTCAGTTATCTAAAAATGAGGGCTTATCATGGACTTTCTGCCTTCTGTAGTCATATGTACTTTCCACACTGTTATGGCGGCTTTTCGTGGACCACAAAAGTTAGTTAACTTTATGCTGTTCTTATTTTTTTTAATTACTTTGCTTTTCTGTTCTAATAAAAGAAACTTATATTTGGATTGCAGGAATGTTCCAGCAGAGGGTCAGGTATCCGGACTAAACTGACTCATGTTGGGACCTTCTTTGCCAGGCAACTATGACGTTAGGCCAAAGGGGGACCCATGCAAAAAGAAAGCTAGTTTTCATTCTAAAGTCAAGCTCGCTTTCTAAGTTCAGAGTTCTCGTTAGACGATCCAGAAAGACTTAGTTTTTAAATCAACAGAATAGAGAAAGCTGCAGGTATAAACACTATCTAGCCTGTCCACGTACTGTGGTAGGCAAGCTGCAGGTATAAACACTATCTAGCCTGTCCACGTACTGCGGTAGGCAAGCTGCAGGTATAAACACTGTCTAACCTGTCCACGTACTGTGGTAGGCAAGCTGCAGGTATAAACACTATCTATCCTGTCCACGTACTGTGGTAGGCAAGCTGCAGGTATAAACACTATCTAGTCTGTCCACGTACTGTGGTAGGCAAGCTGCAGGTATAAACACTATCTAGCCTGTTCACGTACTGTGGTAGGCAAGCTGCAGGTATAAACACTATCTAGCCTGTCCACGTACTGTGGTAGGTACGCGTGCTCAGTTTTTAGTGTTTCTCCGTAGTATTAATTAAAGATTTTATTCGTTTTACATAAAGTGTCCAGACTCTGTTGTTTGTATACCAAGCTGAAAACTTGCAGTAAAATCAGTTTGATCTGAAAAACACAAGAGTACAAGCCGTCACAGTCCCACTTGGCAGAGCGATGGCCTTGTTAACCAAAGATACTGGGCTCAAGCTCCAGTCCTGCAGTTTATTTTCATTTATTATAATGGCTGTTAAATATGCTTAGTTACCAGGACTCTTTCGGGTGGCTGCGTTACGTATACACTTTGACGTTCGGATGTAGTTATCCTTGCATGTCATGATAGATAGGTTTAGTTGTTAGGACTCTTTCTTGGAATGCCTTCTCAACATTAGAGAAATGGGTAACTGTAGTCTGATGACGACTGGAACTTAACGTTATAATTCGAAGTAGACCGGTCAAGTGGTCTGCGGTCTATATTTTGTGTTGGAAACCAATTTGAAGATTGATGAGTCTTGATATTCAAAAGTTTTTGCTTTGTTATCACAGATTTAGTGTTAAGAGTCAGACATGCTATGTAATGTTATTTTGAACACATTTTAACAGTAGATGTCACATATATTCCACGAAATGAATAAGTATTAACTTCGTAAATGTTCTCTATGTTGTTTTATAGGCCCAGGACTGGCATTTGTGGCGTATCCAGAGGCTTTAACACGTCTTCCCGTACCACAGCTCTGGTCTGTCCTATTTTTCCTCATGCTGTACATTCTAGGACTAGACAGTGAGGTACCTTACCTAAGTATATGGATTATCTAGCTTATAACTGTATAATAGTCAAAGTATATATATGTATAACTGTCTACAAGTACGTGTACATTTATACACATGAATACGTTCATTAAGAAAAACCTAGAAATAGGGTACATTCATTATAACACGTTTATTTGGATATCACATATTAAAACTAAACAATAATATATATATATATAAATAATGAATTAACTTTTACAGGTCCCAGGTTTTGTAAGTACTTAATAACCCCTACCCCTTAATGTTTGACGGAATGAAGCACAATTCCTTACGCTCATGGTACATATTTCTCTTGATAAATGTGACCATTGGTCTTCGAAATGTACGTTTTTTATACTAGGTGTGTTTCTAAACTACGGGTATTATAAAAAGATTTATTACATTATCTAACTTTTTCTACATTGATTAAAAACTAACCGTTATTATTTTTTGTATTTGTTTTTCAGTTTGCGCTGTTAGAAAATGTCTTAACCAGCATCTCGGACGAAATACCTATCCTTAGAAACCATAAGATAAAGTTCTGTATAATAACTGGTATAATTTGTTTCTTCTTGGGTCTTCCCTGCGTAACCAAGGTAATTCAATATTCACTTTCTTGCTCTTGTTGTGTAACCACAGAAATATATGTTTTTTTAAATGTGTATTTTCAACGTAATCCAAGTAATGTAATATGTTCATTCTCTTGTTTCTCCGTGGAGAAGTATTTAAGTAACCAAGGTTACTATAACCATGGTGGCATGGTATGTTTAATTGATCCTTTCCTGCGTATGCAAGGAAGTGTGTGTCTCTCTCTGTATTGTCGTATAACATATGATTTGCCAGTTTAATAACTGTAGCGTAATTCTGTATTCCAACAGCATATTTTATAGTGTGGCTTTAAATTTCTCTTTAAATTTTAGAATTGGACCACTATAAATAATTCAAATATGATTTTGTCTAAGAACATTATACAAATATTTTTTCTGCAAACTTGGTTGGAAAAAATTTACATGTCTTTACAACTTTTCCTTTTGGGTTCGACGTGGATTAGTGGTTAGCTGTGGATCGAAAGGTCCAAGGTTTGTGCCTGAGATACGTTATTGAATATACTCCGCACTTTCATGTATGGTCGAGATATAAAAGTTACAGTCAATCCTGTTTGGTTAAGAGTATCTGAGTGTGTCCGGTTCTGTTGGCTCATTGCCCTCCAGTAGTTAGAGTCCCAGTTACCAGGCACGTTGCTAGAGTGTGTCAGGCAATGGGAAGGGGTAGAGATAATGATGTCACCAGAGAAAGCATGTTGTTAGGGACGAGTTGCTAGGCCACTATGACAGGTGGACATGAAGTGATAACACCAGAACTCACGGTGCTAGAGACATGTCCGCCTGTCATGGTGGCCTAGCAACATGTCCCTAGCACCGCGACTTCTGGTTCGACTTTGTGGAATTATTACATCATGTCCACCTGTCATGGTGACCCAGCAATGCGTCTCTAAGAATGCGCCATCTCTGGTGACATCATTATCTCTACCCCTTCACATTGCCTGAGAATAACAGACGTTTAGCGCCGTGTGGTGGTGTGTCTGACAAGTGGGACCATAACTACTCCTGCCTGTTCTAAATTAGGAATGCCTATGCCTTAGCCTTGGAGTCTCGAATTTGACCATTAAGATCAAATGTTGCATAAGGTGCTGTTTATGTTCAAATTACTAAATATCGCTTGTTTTCTTTACCTCAGTGAAAACCTTAATTATAAAATGTGTTTTCTTTTTAACCTTTCCTTAGCAACCAGGGTAACAAACTTATATAATCGGGTGGTAGACACATTTCTGAACGTGTTTATCGTAATGTGTAATTGGAGGAATTTGGTAATTAACAAGATTTGTTTTTCATATTTTTTCAAGCTTGTAAACATATAGATATATTTAATTATCTGGATAACACTATATATACATTATCCCACACTATTTGGAATGTTTATGTAGTAATAAGACACTGAAATTTAAGAAGAACAAAGCATTTCTAAGTCAAACCACCAGTTAGAAGTAGAAATAACTGGCTGTGTTGCACTGATTTAAGCACGAGTTGAGAGAGAGATATGCTAGTAACTGGCTGTGTTATACTGAGTTAGGCGCGAGTTGAATGGGAGATATGCGAGTAGCTAGCTGGATGTGTTGCTCTGAGAAAGGGATTAGTTGACTCTGTGGTAGAGCTCTAGATTTCCGAGCTGGCGAGCCGGGATCAATTCTGTGTTATACAACAAAATATTCCCCGTACTTTAAGCTTTCGGTGCATTATAAAAATGACAATCAATCTCTTAGCATGGATGATGGGTTACCAGGTGCTGCTGACTGCCTGCCTTCCATTTGGCCAGTACTTCATATTAAGTGGATAGTCTTCGTATCTTTGCCATAAATATAAAACAAAAACCAAAACAAATGCACCAAGTAACTAAGAAGAATAGTATTTCCCATTGTATTGTTTGTTGTTAAGAGCAAAGCTACACAGTCGGCTATATATGCTATGCCCACCACGGGTATCGAAACCCGGTCGTTAGCGTTTAAACCTTTAGACTTACTGCTGAACCACTGGAGGAGGCAGTTAGCATTGTAAGTAAGAAAGGATATATTAATAAATAAGAATATTGTTTAATTTTTCAATAGAATAACGACGTTTCGCTTCGTAGGTCAGCAACATTTGTTAGCAAAGAATTAAATATTGTTAAGTTTAACAGGCAATATATTGTTTCGTATCCTAACTTTAAAAAAAATCAAGAAAAAATATTATAAAGTTTAACAGTGGATATTATTTCTTTTTCTGGCAATTTAACAAATGTTTTATTCTGTTTGTTTACTAATAAGCACAAAGTTACACTTTGGGATATATGATTTGTATCCATTGAAACCTGTATTTTAGCATTGTAAGCTTTCTAGCTTACCGCTGAGCCAGTGATGAGCATTTTATTCTATAAAAATATCTGTCTAGCTGTGCATTGTTATGAAGTTAGCGACACACAAATCAAGTTTCTATTTCAGAGAAAGAAACAAGACCTGAAGTGGTTGGGGCAAACTTAGTGTAATGGTTAATTTGTCCAAACTGTAAATCCGAGAATTCATGGCTTGCCCCAAGTTAACAAAAAATGTGCTCCGTTCTTTAGGGCTTTGGGTGTGCTATAAGACGATCAAATTTCATTACTCGGTCACAAGAAAGTAGCCCAAGAGTGGGCGCTTTTAACTAGCTGCTTTCTTTCTAGTCTCTCAGTTCAAAATTAAAGACCGCTATGTGCAGATAGTTCTTTGTGTTATTTTTGCGGGAAATGTTTGAAACAACCTTGAAAATGCTATGTCATTGAAAAACTGAATCCATGTTTGCTCCTAAGAATAACACGTGTAAGCATTATTACTGCACATGCACAGTAACAGCATATAGTCCTCTGCTTCATTAATATAAATACTTTAGGAATGTCTTGAGTGGCTTCAACGCATTTGCTTACTGTACAGTTTATGCTTATAATTACTTTCTAACAAAGTCTATCAGGAACCACGATAATCCTCAATTATAGGGTTTGACCAAGAATTTCATTAAAATTCTAAGCGAACATATGGGCAAGAACCATCTTAAAAACTAGAACTTGTTCTTGAATCAACTCTCAATATTCTTATTGGCTACAGGCTGCTAAAATACTGATAATATTAAAAAAAAGGTTGATTTTCCGATTGTTAGACAAAATTCAAAATTGATCCACTTGTTCTTCATATTATTCTTGTTTGACAATCCTACAGAAAAAATGGCTATGAATAATTTACTGAAACCTGGATAAACGTACCAAAAACACTCTTGCACAGGTCATAGGACTATTGTATGTTGATTCTTAAAAAAGAAGGAGAAATTTTATCTATTTTTTTCTTGATATTTGCCAAGTTTCTCTTCGAACCCATTCAAGCACCGAAGCCTACAGCAAAAACGGCTACGTATACAGCGTCAAAATCTATGCACAGCTACTAAAAAAACTCCTGCGAAGGTTGTAGGGCAATTTCTAAGTTAATTCTTGAAAGTTGAGATTTCCATTCCCTAAAATTGTTGAAGTTCTTCTTCATTACCAACATAAGCAACACTATACTAGTCGAAACAATTCGTTTTATTACAGTAGGCATTGTGTATATATTATTCTCGAGTTCGCTTTGTCTCTACAGGGTTAACTGCGACTATTTCGGTGAGTTATCTAAAAGTAGACAATTACCATAATAGATTTCTCTACTCTTGTGAGGATTGATTTATTCTACTCATATTCGTACTTCCCTTCGTAAAAGCGTGTTTACACGAAACCTCAGGAACAAAACCACCTGGCTCAGTCAATAATGGCTAGGTGGAAAAAAAAGCTGATGCAGCAGTAAACATTTGAAAAACGTGTAACATTCAACTTAATACATATGCAGTATGTATCTTAAAATTTATTATCCATAAAAGTACTGTAGACATGGAGTCAAAATAGGGATTTGTAGCTTGAGAAAGTAATGTAGACACTATTTCCAGCCTAGTTTGTTTAACTTTTTTAGATTCCCTAGTTGTAGGATTGAAAATATAATCTTTGCATTGAAATTAACAATTTTTAATTATCTTGTTGAAAATGTTGTTGTAGGCTATTTGGGTGAAGAATTGATAAATATGTTTTTCATCTTTGCATATTTCATTTTGTTATTTTACAGGGTGGGCAATATATCCTAGAGATAATGGACAAGTATGGGGGTGGAACGGCTGTCATTCTTATAGCCATTGTAGAATCCATTGCTATAAATTGGATATATGGTAAGTTTAACATACGACATGTTGAAAGCCTGTTATAATGATAACGAACCCCTTTCCTTCTTTTCTGAATCCAGCAGCTTAGTTTTCTTTTTTTTGGAGGGGGGGGGGATGCAGAAAAACAAATACGCCGATTATTCGTATTCCTTCATATCCTCTGCTAAAATTCTGTTTGCAAGCTTGCAGAATGTGAGTAATTTAGAAATTTTTTTATTAATATTAAAAAGAATTACAATGCATATTAAAAGATTCACAACGAGAGGTATTAATACTCCAAAGATTGAGTCAAAGTTTTATTATATGAAAGGTATTTTCTTCTGGTGTCTCAGAGGTAAGCTTGAGGACTTATTACGTTGAATTTTGGGGCTCGATATCTGCGATGAGCACAGCGCTAATAGCCCATTGTGCAGCTTCGCGCTGAAACCAAACAACAAAGAAACTGAAAGTGTTTTGGGGCTCAATATCTGCGATGGGCACAGCGCTAATAGCCCATTGTGCAGCTTCGCGCTGAAACCAAACAAACAAAGAAACTGAAAGTGTTTTGGGGCTCGATATCTGCGATGGGCACAGCGCTAATAGCCCATTGTGCAGCTTCGCGCTGAAACCAAACAAACAAAGAAACTGAAAGTATTTTGGGGCTCGATATCTGCGAGGGGCACAGCGCTAATAGCCCATTGTGCAGCTTCGCACTGAAACCAAACAAACAAAGAAACTGAAAGTGTTATACACTTTTATAAGTTTTGTTCAGACGCCATTGTTTCCTTCAGATAAGTTTACCCGTAACTTTTAATGTTTTAGATACCAAAATGAAGTTTGAAAATCTTGGCTGTACTTCATGAAGGAATTAAACGATAGTGTGATTTATAATTATTAGTAAAATCCAGCGCTAAAACTTCTGATAAAACATATCACATTATTCGGTTTCCTTTACATACCAGGACGTGTGACAATACAAATCTCTGAGCATTTTTTACAAGTTGTAATGTCTTTAGTCAAAAGGAATTCTATCAATTATATTTAACCGTTTAAACGCTGGCTCTTAATTGTACTGAAAGTTTCTTATCGTAATAATGGATTTGTCTCTATCAGTGTGTGGCGTTATAGTATTGATAATATTTCCACGTTATTTCAATGTATTCATTTATGATAAAAAGGTGGTTTACAAGATGTAGATTAAGATAATTTTCTTTTTATTAATTGTATGTTTAGGGAAACTTCACTAAAACTAAATTAACGATGCTAATTTAAAACTTATGATTCTTTTTCTAATATTTCTAATATAACTTTTTTAGAGAACATTTTTTTAACTTTAAAATTTGAACTTTATCAAAAAGAAAAACAACTCTCATATTTATATGTTTAAAATGTGTGTATTTTATACAATATTCAGGCTTAGACCGGTTTTGTGATGACATCTACTTCATGCTAGGTCAAAAACCCGGAATTTACTGGCGGATCACATGGCGATATACATCACCAGCGATTTTGACTGTAAGAAATAATTTTAATAACTATATGTCTATAGTACTCATAGGTACTCATATGCGGTTAGACGGTTATGTAACGTGTAGGACGTTGTGAACTTAGGTACTCATATGCGGTTAGACGGTTATGTAACGTGTAGGACGTTGTGAACTTATGTACTCATATGCGGTTAGACGGTTAT